CCTCCTACCTGTAAGTGTGGGGCAGCCCGGGGATGGAGTTGGGGGGAGAGAGGGGGCACCGGCAGCGGCGGGGCGGGCGGCCGGGGAGGGCCCGGGGCCGGCCCCCGGCGGTGACAGGAGGCGCGGCGGGGTCGGGCGCGTTTGCCGCGGCGCTGCCGATAGAAAACGCCCGACTTCAAATAAGTTTCTAATCGCTTTTTAATCAGCGGGCGGGTTGTAAAGCGTTTATAGGTATCTGGCTATCTCGGTGCTGGGTCCGGCGCCTGGAGGATCGCTGTGTGATGTGCCGTTTAGAGGGTAATTAACAGCGATTGCAACAGCAGAAACTCGATTAGATCCGCAGGGACGTTATCTCCACCTTTGCTTCCCGGGACAGGGCTTTGAACTGCGGTTGCTACTGATTTAATCTTTAACAGATCTGCCCTCGGGTTGAGGAAAGGCAGTAAATAAAGGGAGCGGCCGGCCGGCGGGCAGTGGCGGGGGCGCGGTGCGGTGCGGTGCCCGGGCGGGCAGGTGGCTGCCGGGGTCCGGGTCCCTGTGTCCCCCGAGCCGGGAGCCCGCCCCGGCCTCCCCCGGGCACCCGCACCGGGAAACTCCCCTGCCTGTGCCTAAGGGACAGGGACGGCAGAACGGAGAAACTTTGTGTTACCAAAACAAAAACCGCTCACCTGAAACCGTGGGGAAACTTTTTCCTTCTTTTTGGCCTTAGGGTCGTCGTTTAGCCTTCATCGTTTTGTGTGTTGAAAGTGTTGGTGCACTAAAAGTGTCGGTTTGGTGCCCTCCTCATCGATTTCGTAGAGTTCTTTGTGGTTGCGTGTCCAGTACCTTGTTAATTTAATGCTTACCCTCCGTATCCAGCGTAGAGTGTGTCAGTGTCTGAATGTGTTTGTCCATCGGTGTATTTTGACATGCTGTTGACGTGCTTGCTGCTATGGTTACTGTAAAGATGCCTTCACAGTATTGTGTGTCTGGGGCACTAAAGTGATAATTCTGAACTTGCTTTCTGTCTTCATGTACTTCAAAAGACGTGAAACTTACGTTGCATCTGAGAAAGCAGATGAAACTGAACTAGAAATGGTCTTTCTGAGAGAATTATGACAACATAGGCAAGGTAGAAATGAAATGCAACCAATAAAATCTAAGTACTAAGTATATGTTAGGAAAGGGCTTAGTTTAGTGAAAATAGCATTGGTTTGGAAAGAGGATGTGCAGCTGAAAGACTTTTCTAAGCATTACGCATGTAAGTATTCTTTTGAAAATTATCTTAATATGGTCAGTTTTAGCTTATTTATCATAAACATTTCAAAGCCAAAGCTATTAATAATGTTAAGAGGCAGGAGTCAGCACTGCTGGATGACCATTTACAGTAGAGCAGAACTTTGGCTATACGTAATTAAGATACAATCTTCAAGACATACAAAGTCAGCTGCTGGTTTCAAAAGTAGCAGGTCAGGATTTTGGGTATACTCGATGTTTTCTGGTGTTTTGGAAAGTCATAAGTAGAAAGATAGATGATGAAGGTATAAAGGCGTACATAAGCTGTATATATCCTCTGTCAAGAAGTAGATGCCGTAAATTCATGGTTGCTTGGAGGAATGCTAAAACTGGAAATTTTACTGTTTTACTGTTTTATGAAGAAAAAGAGCACATAAACATGCACGATACTGTCAAAATACCACTGCAGTGGTCTTCTGCTTGTTGCAAAGATATATACCTCCAGTAACCTGCTGCTTGGTAGGATCATGATCTGGTCCACACTTTTGTTTGTAAATCTTCTTGTCCTTCAGCAGGGGAATGTCTTTCTCCAGTCAAGAATTCCTTGCTGTTCAGTAGCATACACCCCGAAGTAAAAAAACCCTACTGTGGGACAGGCAGACTTTTAAGTGACCAAGGCTGTGTACAGGCAGCATAACAGTATAAAAGACTGGTTCATACACATAGGCAGCTACACTTACCCGTTTCCAAATTTACCAGGCTGTTATCCTTGGATTAATTATTGCCTAATTATGCAGAGTTGTAGCTCCTGCCTGCCTTCTATAAAGAACTGTCAGGTCTCATTTTCTGTAGATGGCTAAGCAATGGCAAATTGTAAAATGTGCCTGCTTGTTATAGAGATGTTTGCCTCCCTCAGTTTGGTAGGGGTCAGCCAGATGATCCTTGATTTTTGTTATTTGGGGGGTTTTCCCCAGAAAAACAGAAATGTCTTTTAGCACTGTGACTTCGGATCGAAGCAGGAGTTTGAAACTACGCACTCACATTAACTCTCTTTCCAGCAAAAGAACCCATCTTCTTTAGTTGATTCTGTTCTTGCACAGTATACATATCTGGCCAAAAGCAGCCTGCGGTACTACCTTGTCTTAAGTTTGGGTTTTTAAAGTGTTTTTTTTTTCTAAATTTCTATCATTTTTATCTTATCTGGACACTTGCATAGAAAAAAAAAAAGGTAAATTTCTTCATGTGCCCTGGAAATTGTGTGAAAAGTTGAAATGTCGAGGCCATTAAAGTTTGTTTTATGTTGGGATAAATGTGTACAGAGCATGATATATTATGGTGACTGAATTTTGCAGTTTTTTATGATGGTGCTCTTTGCAGCAGAGCTAAATGTAGTCTACAGATGGACCCACTACACATTTCTGCATTCTCATTTATATTCCTAGGCAGCAATTCTTGCCTCCCATCAAAAATCTTTTTATTTATGATTATGTGTCTGCTGCCATGAACTGTTAGACTTTTCAAGAGCAGACAAGGAGAATCCAGGAGTTTCTTTCCATTCCTTTTTCGTCATTTACTTTTAGGCTAAATAATGTACTCAATGTATTTAATGCAATTCCTTTTGGCATAAATGTGAATTCCATGTGCTGATGAAGGGCAGCACTGAGTCTCTGTTTCAAATTAAGAACATGTCACTTTCCTATCAGTACACAGTCAAAAGAAGAAGCCAGGATCTACAGGTCTTTTGCACATGGGACCCTCATTAATTCTCAAACCAAGCCTGTGAGTTAGTGAAATATTGTTACTATTTACTGTGATGTGGAAAACTGAGGCAAAGAAGGGCTTGCTTAAAGTTAGAGGTAAAGTTTGTGACAAAGCCAGTAATTAAAGCCAGAATGCCTTATCCTAACTCCGTTCTTCAACCACAGGCTCAACCGACTTCTCTTAAATAGTTACTCATTAAAAACAGTGTAAAAACTGGTAATGCAAAGAATATTTAGTATGATAAGTATATAAAAATATCTGTTTCCGTATCTCATGTGTTAACACTATAGAAAATAGCTCTTAAAGATTTCGAAGGTCTCTGTTATGTGTCTGGATAGCACAGAAGAGTAAATTCATTATAAATGCCAAGGCTGTCTTAGCAGTTCAGATGCTGTCTTCTTTGTGATCAAAAACTTTCAATGAGTGTTTTATATTTATATTCCACTTAGTGTAATATTTTAAGTGGAATATTAAGTGGAATGTTTTCATAATGTTACCATCTTAGATTGACATAGACGTGTGCAAATATTGCAGCATATGGTATGTTGCCTTTTACATGATAGTTTACTGAGTTATTTTGGCATACGTGTTATTTGCATTAAAATGTTTCATTTTGAGTACATTGTAAATATGCTTAATAATATTTGGGAAAATCTGATTAATAATTTTTAATTCTTCACAGAAATCATTAAGAAAAAATATTTTTCAAAGCTATGATAACATTGATTCTATTACAGAAAAACCTATGAAGAAGAAATCAATGCATATTTTAGGCTTCCTAAGATATTAGTCTTCATATAAATTTTGGCCTTCTGCTTCATTCATTGCCATAATATTGTATTTGATGACAAATATTCCTGTAGGGCACAGTCAAAGGTGTATCAGCTATTTGAAAGTGTTTAAGATTACTAAACCAAAAAAAAGGCAAAGACTTTGGGAGAAAAAAAATGGTTTTGTTTTTGAAGGTTAAAAAGCATATTCCCGGAAATTAACTACACTTCTGAAATAAGGAAGATAGCTGTTTCTGTGTCAGGAATAACCCAGAAACAGTAAGACTAAGCCTTTGGGGTAAATTTGTTCTATTTAGTCATGCTGATCTCAGTGCAAATTCAAATCTTGTCTGTGTCTTCATCTAAGGTATCTTGGGAATGACCATGGGTTTTTCAAAGAGATCAAACAGCAAGGTATCTTCTTAAGAAGAGTATCCTTACAAAGTCTCTTAAAACTTCCAGATCCCTTGACGAGATTTAGGTGTTAGGTAGTTAGTAAAATGTTTGCCTCTTCTTAGAAAGTACTTCTTTACAAAGTTGCAAACCTTATAAACTGTTTTTGCACCTTTCGAGTTGAAATACATTAAATGATTGCCATGTGGTTTCTGTTAATAATCTGAGTCTTGTTCCAGTTGAGGATGAAGGTGAATCCAGGTTCTGGATTTAGAATTTAGTGTTAAATTCCCCTTTTGAAAAGAAAACAGGGCATTTCCTCTCTACTTACGACAAAAGTAGGTATGCAAAGGTAAAATGTA